AAAAATTCTCTCTCTTTAAAAAAAAATGAATAGAGGAAAGAGATAGGAAATACATCAGAAGGGGAGGCAGATTAAGGTGAAGAGCAAGGACAGGGTCCTGGGTTCAAGCCCCAGGACCACAAAAACCCAGAAACATGAAGAGCAGTGCTGAACACTCTGGTTAGAAGTAACCTGGAAGACACTGAAGTGGTAGGTCCATGGCAGCTGGTGAAGTCAGATGAGTCACCTCCCAGGAGTTGGGACTCCATTCCCCACAGAAGAGGCAAACCAGGGAGGGTTAAGGTTCTGATTCTGAGACTATTACAGTCCTGTTACTTCGTGGTTGTTCATCCCTGACCTGCCCTAGCCTCAGTTTCTTCATGGGCAGAGCCTACGCTGTCATTCCTACTCAGAACTCCTGGTAAAACTGGAACAGGTACTCGGGAAGTTTGGTGCCTTGGTTACCAATCAATAATTAATGAGAACAGATAACAATCACTACATGGTTCTTACACTTTAGTGTAAAAATGAACTACTGGTGAGCTTGTAGATTTGGGCAGTCTTTAGAGTGACTGTAACTCCATGTCGCAGGCAAGGCATGCCATTTGGTCCTCGATGCAGGGTGTGAGATAGAGCCCAGGTGTCTGGCTTCCTCGTCTTCCATCAAAAGGTGAGAGGACAGGACTGCTGCACTGCGGTGCTTATGAAGCTGGCTTGTTCTTGTTTCTGGAGGGCTCGAATCTACATGGAGCAGGCCTCGCAAACCTGTGGGCCGACTTCAGCTAACATTTATTAAGCACTAAGTGTAAGGTGCTGTGCTGAGTACATCAGCTGCATCACCTCAGTTGACCCTCTCCAACCCTTAAGGAGGTGGGTGAGTTTATTATGTTGTATTGAGGAAGCGAAAGTCTAAAGAGGTTAAATTCTTCAGGTCATGTATCTTGAATCTGAACCCAGACTGAGATGCCTGGTTCTTAGTGTTTTTGACCGCCCTCATCTGCAGGCAGCAGCGTCTCGGCCTCACACCTGCGCTCCGGTTCCCTCGGCTCTGCACAAGCACTAGTCTTGGGGCAGGGGGCAAACCTGCCTCCCAAGCTACGGGGCGGTGGGCTCCCTCGGCAGGCCAGACGGAAGGGTGCCTAGCCCAGGAAGCTCGCCGGCCCCCACCGAAGGCTGGCAGGGGGCGCCCAACAACTGCCAATCTCTCGCTAGGCTCTGAGGCTCAGCGAGGCTTGCCATCGGGTTTCTGCGGCGCTGGGGACAGTACCCAGGGCCTCGCTCATGCGTGGCCCACGAGCTCTAATGGCCACCGATACGTAGGTGCTGGAAAGCCTCTCCGATGCACTTAGTATTTAATTTCCTAACTCTGCCAAAGCCGCCTTCATTCTCAGCGCCCCCAAGCACTCCTCCACCGCCCCACGGCTAAGTGTCTTCTACTCCGAGCACTTACAACTCGTGCAGGCGCTAACGGGAGGGTCACTCGCACACAGCCTGGACATGGGGGCAGGGATGGAACACACTCTGGAACCCTACGAGACGCTGGTCCAGAGAGGGCAAGAGGCTGGCTTGAGGCAGCACAGACCCGCGGAGGCTAGGACCCAGATGCCCACTACGTTAAGCCTACGTCACCAGGACTCCGCCCCCGAGTTGGCGTCTGAGCCCGAGCCCCCAGAAGATTCCAAATCGGCCCCGAGTCCCCTGGCGTGCCCAACTGGGTCCTCTGGACCCTGCAGGTGTACTCTCGGGGGAAACTGAGGCARGGACGTTGGTGAATTCATTTCTCGCTCTGTTCATAACCCGGGGGGAGCAAAGCTGTTTTGCTCTCCTCAAAAACGCTTGGGACAGCAGAGAAGGACGGGAGGAAGGGGAGGGGGTCAGAAACAAGCAAGTTCTAGGGAGCCAGACAGCCCCGCCACACTCAAGATGGCGGCACAGTCGTGGCGAGGTCCCTCAGAGGCGGTACCAGCGCATGCGCAGCGCGGAGTCCCGGCCCGGGACACAAGATGGCGGCAGCGGCGCTGGGGAGGGCGAGGCGGAGGCGGCAAAACGGGAGGTCGAGCAGAACGTGTAGCCGCATCTCTTCAAGTCCGCTCCGGGCAGGTAAGAACCCCAGGAAGCCATGGTCTCGCCGCGAGCCGCGCCAGGGTCCAGGAATCCGAAGCCGGGCAGCGGTGGCCTTTCCGGCGCTTTCCGCTCAGGGCTGCCGCTGGCCTGGACTCTTTCGCCGCCGCCATCTTAGACCCGCGGGTGGGCAGCCGGGCCGGTGGCCGGAGTGAGGAAGGTGGGCCCGGAGAGCGCGGGCGGAGCGGCCTCCAGGGCCCCTCCGCTGCTGCCGCCGCCACCGCCTTTGTGTCGGGCTCCGACTCTGAGTCGCCTCAGCCCGGGGGCGGGAGCGCGCGGCGGGGCGGGGGGCGGAGCCCGGGAGATGGGCCGGCGCGCGCGCGCCAAACAACCCGCCCCCGCTGGGGTTGGGAGAAGGGCAGGTGCACGCGCGCTGCGCCTCGTCCTGCCCTGCCTTCGCGCGTCCTCGCGCCTGCGTACTTTGCAAGTCCTGTGGCTCCTCCTTCCTGGGCCGGAAAGTTCTGATTGGTACACTCCTGAGATGCTCCCGCCTCGTYTTCCTCCAATCCCGGAATCGGACTCTTCCTTCTAGTGGGTTCCTCGGGTTGCGCAGATACAGTTGTTTGTCCTTAGGCTCCGCTGCGCTTCTTGAACTGCGGTACGCGTGAGGGTCGGGAGGCCACCTGCGGAATGAGTACATCACGTTGACAAGGACAGCTTCTCGTGCGGGGAGTGCACGAGGGGTTAGGCGCTGCGCGGAGAGGTTGAGCGGTGCCAGTGTAGAAGCCGGGAAGCGGCAGCAGGGCCTGGAACTGTGTCCGACCCAAAGCTGGTACTTGTATCAGCAGTAAGGCCACAGACTTGTTGCACCCCAATCTCAGCGAATTTATTCATTCTTAAAATTATTAATTTTTCGAACCCAAGGACTCAAGTATGCCAAGTAAGCGCTCTGCACCAAGCCGCACCCCCCCCTTAGAGAATTTAAATTGGTAAAGATTTCCAGTGGTATAAAGTCATCCAGAGTCCCAGTTCTACCGGAATGCGTGTAAAAATTATAAATTCTCTTGAACCTCCTCTCGCCGTTTCTGGCTCTTAAGATGTGGAGTGAGATAGAGGAATCTGAGGTATTTTCTTTTAAAAGCGCCAAATGATTCTGATGCATAGTTTTGAAAATACTGCAGTGTCCTCATTTGGCCTCAAGCTAAACTGTGCCATCTCATCTAAAAAGTGCATCTACCTGGTGCATCTGTATGACAGGACGTTTCTTGGGAAAAATATTTTTCAATAAAGATGAACGAGAGGGGCTGGGGATGTGGCTCAAGCGGTAGCGCGCTCGCCTGGCATGCGTGCAGCCCGGGTTCGATCCTCCAGCACCACATACCAACAAAGATGTTGTGTCCGCCAATAACTAATAAATAAATATTTAAAAAAAAAAAAAAAAAAAAGATGAACGAGATGTGTTATATAATGTGTTTATGTTTTAATTTTTTAAAAGACATTCAGAGAAGTGTGTCTTTCTTTCAGTGTGGGTGGCTTGGCCTGGTGCCCTCAGATCTCTGATACGTATGTGTGTACATTTTTTTCTTTGGGCTAAGGATTCTTTATTTGGTGGGTCCCAGTATGCAAAATGAAATCGTGGGCCCTTTGTTTAAAAATTATTAAAAGCTGGACCAATGGTGTGGCCTGTATTCTCAACCACAGGGGAGGCTGAGGCAGGAGGRTGGCTTGAGGCAAGGAATTCAAGACCGGCATGGGCAACAGAGCAATATGCTGTGTTCAAAACAAACAAAACGTGTATATATACATACAGATACATGATATTTTTTATCTTCCTCTTCATGCCCTCACCCCTTTGGGCAGTACTGGGGATTGGGACACTTTACCGCRGAGGTACGGTCACAATCCTTTTTGAGACAGGGTCTGGCTAAGTTGCCCAGGCTACCTGGAATTTGTGGTCCTCCTGCCTTAGCCTCCGGAGTTGCTAGGATGACAGGTGTGCACTACCACATCTGGTTATATAGATTTGAAAAATTCTGGGCTGGTAGAGCCCTTGCCCAACCAAGCTTTGGGTCCTCTCGAACATGGTCCTGGTGCAAYCATGCAGGCCAAAAACCTACTCAGTAAACCTTTTGGTTGGAMGACTGGAGAAATACCATTTTCATTTCCTGAGTTTCCAGATTCCCTGAGGCCAGCCTGGGCAACTTAGAGACCCCATCTCAAAAAATGTGTATGTGTTAAAAATTCCAGGCTGGGTTTGTCTACTGCCTGCCCTGTCTTAGTCTCCCAACTTGCTCTTTGTCCTTGTCCTTATTGTCCTCTCCCTGCAACATTTTACAGGTCAGTGATTGTCTTTTTTTGTTTGCTCTCCAGTTGCTGATACAAGGAGTTCCTTGAGCCCCTGTCCACTCCGCTGCTGACCAGTTCACCCACCTGTGCTGAGCCTTCCTCTGCTGCAGGCCTTCCCCAATCTGTGTGGGACCTTGTGACGTGGGGGTCAGTCCAGCTGCAGAAGAAAACCCTCTCATGCTAGCATTGCAGACCCCAGAGGGTGAGAGAAAGGGGACCTCATTCAGCCTTGGAACCTATGGGCTCAGCCCCCAAGGAACAGTTCCAAACCCTTTTGTTGGCAAGGCACTCTTCGTTGTATATATATCCTGTGCCCCTGCATTTTATCTGCCAAACTGTACTGATGAAGTAATCATTGACTTTTCCCTTTCCAAATTAACAAAGATGACTATGACTAAGTGTACAATAAAATCAGTGTCCCAGTGATTGCTATGATGTCGTCAACAGCCAACCAGAGCTCCTGATCAGCATGAGCTAATCAGTGTGGCCACAATGAGTTGGTAAAATTTCAACATGCAAAGATAATGAATGTTTAAATCTGCTTTTGTGGTCTTATTGTGGGCAAAGGTTTGATTTCTTGTGGGTATTGTGACATATTGAAAACAACTCCAGCATCAACAATTTGATCTTGGTTGGCCCCCTAGGGATATAACAATCCCTGGCCAGAAACCACTTTGGTCATCAAAGCTTGTGCTGGGTGTACTTTGGGTGGGGCTGGTAGGGAATACAAATTGAAGGAACTGGCCTCCTTGCTAATACTTAATGCTAGTTTTCACTTGGGGATTCTGAAGACTTGAATTAGGTAGTCTTTTTTGGTTGCACTGGTTCTGTTAGCAACAGATTGCTTCCTGCCCTGTAGTGTAAAACGAGGTGACCAATTAGATCCCACGCTCCTTCCCCAGCTGTGCTTTGGTTTACTTATATATCTTCTACTGGATGTGAGTGGTAAAAATCCTCTCACGAGTAGGGGCTCCCATTCTTTCTTGTAGAAATAGCTTCTCAAGGGCAGACACTGTTCTGTCTTGTTTGCTAGTCTTGATTTGTAAATGTTTACAGAATTAATAGAGCTCCTTTTGGGTCCAGGTACTATGTTGAGCTCTGGAGAGAGATACATTGGCATGAATTCCTGTTCCTGGAAGGGTTAAAAATCTATAATGAGGAGATAAATCCAGTTTACACCAAACCATCTGAGTACTCAGCACCGGTGTTCATGGCGCTGGGGAGGGCCCTGACCATCTAGTCTGGGAGGGGGCAGTCGAGGAAGGTTTGTTGGAGGATGTGAGCCTAGGGGCAAGCCAGGCAGAGAGTGAGGGGAAGGTCGTTTTGGCAGGGGAGTAGCAGAAGGGCACCTAATTATCGTTGAGGGAACTGCAGCCTAGGTCCCAAGGCTCCTTCTGAAGTACCATACTGGCCTTCCAGGGCAGGACTGGGTTAGATTTCAGCGCATCTGCAGGTGGTCACCAGGGCCCTTGGTTGTAATTGGAGGGCGAGATGGAGCTGACTCTTTGGTCCTCTGTGTGGCAGGTCCCGTGTGGGTGCTGAGATGGCCAATGAGAATCACGGCAGCCCCCGGGAAGAAGCATCTCTGCTGAGTCACTCCCCAGGCACCTCCACCCAGAGCCAGCCCTGCTCTCCAAAGCCAGTCCGCCTGGTACAGGACCTCCCAGGTACTGGCAGGGGCAGTGGTGGGCAGTGGGGTAGAAAGGGTCCTCCGAGGGCAGCCATGACCTTGGTGGGTTCTGCGCTTGTTTGCAGAGGAGTTGGTGCATGCGGGCTGGGAGAAGTGCTGGAGCCGGAGGGAGAACCGCCCCTACTACTTCAACCGATTCACCAACCARTCCCTGTGGGAGATGCCCGTGCTGGGCCAGCATGATGTGATTGTGAGTGCCAGCCTAGCCCAGGGGTCTCAACAGCCTCTGGCACATGGGTCGTCTTCCCCAAGTGTACTCTGAACATCGCTTAGTGCCCAGCCCTGTGCTGACACCAGCAGACACAGTGTTAAGACAGATACAGTCCCTGCCCTCCTGGAGCSTACATTCAAATAGGGCAGACAGACAAACAGATGATTATCATAGAGTAGCACAGTGAAGTTCGGCTACCTGTTGGGCACTGTGCCAGGGAGACAGGTGTGAGAAAGATAGACATGCCGTCTCCCCACAGTCACTAGAGTGGGGCCATAGGATTACAGGTGCAGATGTGTGTGAAGTATGGTGTGAAGAATACAGCAGAGGGGGTTAGGGGTGTTTGCCTAGCATGTGCAAGGCCCTGGGTGTGATCCCCAGCACCACCCAAAGGAAAAAAACCATATGGCAGGGATCCTGACTTGGTCTGGGGAAGGGGAAGGTACAGGAAGCGCTCTGAGAATCAGCATTTAAGGTGAAGTTAACTAAGTGAGAGTGGTAAGAGGAGAGAAGAGTGTTCTAAGAACTTGAATGTCAGAGTGCTGAGGAAGGGCAGGGAGAGGCTGTCTGGGGGGAATATGGGCTTAAGGTTCCTCAGCTGGGGCAGCTTTTATTAGATACAAGCAAGCCACGTGGCATCTCCATTTTATAGATGAAGACGCTGGGGTTCAGAGGGACCAAATGGCCTGATGCCTCACAGCTAGCAGTAGGCAGAGCAGGAACTACACTTTGCTGTGATTTCAGGACCACATGCTCACATACCACACATACTTTTGGTGTCATCAAAGGAGGTCCACTCACAGGGTCTTGATCTTTTGAATATGAACATTTCTGAGTCTCTTTTATTCCTTTCATTCTTAAGAAAAATAAAATAATGTACCAAGCACCGATCTCATGCTGTATGTTGGACTCGCTGATTCACGTAGTAATCTCCAGTGTGAGGTGGGGCTCTGTGTGGCCATTTGGAAGGTGAGGAAATTAGGAAGGGAAGTAGCTCACCCAAGGCCACACAGTTCCGGGTAGCGGGCCAGAGCAGAGCCCGGTGTTCTCTGCCAGCATCCCAGCCTCCGTGTTCTCCGCTGAGTAGAGCAGGGCGGGAGGGCATGAGAGTCCGAAGTACTAGGGCTCCGAAGCACCTGGCCCTGGTTGCAACTCTGCTGGTCTCCCTCCACCAGTCGGACCCTTTGGGGCTGAATGCGACCCCACTGCCCCAAGATTCAAGCTTGGTGGAAACCCCCCCGCCTGAGAACAAGCCCAGAAAGCGGCAGCTCTCGGAAGAGCAGCCAAGCGGCAATGGTGTGAAGAAGCCCAAGGTGAGTGTCCGGGGCTCTCAGGACCTGGCTGGTAAGTGACCAACTCAGGCAGGCAGCCAACAGGCTCCCTGCAAGAGTTGGGCTTAGGCAGGCTGGTCAGGAGGGGGGCCCAGGACACAGCTCACCAGATACGCAGTGTTGGAGCTGGTTGCTAAGTCTTCTGATCCAGTCCCTTTGTCTCTCTYTTGCTCTAGATTGAAATTCCTGTGACACCCACAGGCCAGTCAGTGCCCAGCTCCCCCAGTGTCCCAGGAACTCCAACGCTGAAGATTTGGGGTGCATCCCCTGAAGATAAACAGCAAGCAGCTCTCCTTCGACCCACTGAGTGAGTCCCTGTAATTGGCTTGGGGGTGCCCATTGCTAATGGTCAGCTTGGGGGATATGGTGGCAGCAGGCAGAGCATCTTCATTGCTTCTGTGTGTGCCCCAAGGGTGTACTGGGACCTGGATATCCAGACCAACGCTGTCATCAAGCACCGAGGGCCTTCTGAGGTGCTGCCACCGCACCCTGAAGTGGAGCAGTTCCGCTCCCAGCTCATCCTGAAGCTGCGGCAGCACTATCGGGAGCTGTGCCAGCAGCGAGAGGGTAATCCTTGGGCCCCAGCCCCCTGGTTTCCAGCCACTCTTAGCAAGAGCCAGGGCTTTGCCATCTGGTCTTAGGGATGGTGCAGGGAGCTTGGTCAGAGCATGCGCTGTGGAGTGGACAGACCTGTTGGGCTCCTGGTTCCATTACCCACTACTTCTGATTCTAAGCTCAGCTCTCAACACTCCACATGTGGTTCCCTTACTTGTAAGGAGGGAGTAGAAGCAGTGCTTACCTACAGGGTGGCTGGAGCTTACTATTTGCCAGGCACTGTCAACTCTCCACATACCTGAAAAAGAACATAAAAAGAATACATGTATCTTACAAGTGTCAAAACCAGTGAGTGAAATGACCAAGTGTCCTATTAGTGAACTGCAGTTTTTAACTTTTACATAAATAAACCTGCTTGACATTGCTGAAATGTAGGTCCTTCTCTTCCCTTTAACCCTATGTGACACTTACTGACATGACCATAGACTAGCGATTCTCAGAATATATTTTGGAAAATGAAATCTAGAAAATAAACTTCTGAAGTAACAGGGCCCAGGTCTTGTTTACTGACCAGTGTGGTGCCTCTTGTGTGCCCACCCCAAAGTGGAACCTGTTGACTAAATCCAGAGCCTCAGCAGCTCTCTGTCCCTCAGGTATTGAGCCTCCACGGGAGTCTTTCAACCGCTGGATGCTGGAGCGCAAGGTGGTGGACAAAGGATCTGACCCCCTGTTGCCGAGCAACTGTGAACCAGTTGTGTCACCTTCCATGTTTCGTGAAATCATGAATGACATTCCCATCAGGTACATCTCTGCAGCTGCACCGCTCAGTGCTGTCCAGTCATGTAGAAGGGCTCTAATTCTGCCCCCCTCTAACCCAGGTTATCCCGAATCAAGTTCCGGGAGGAAGCCAAGCGCCTGCTCTTTAAATACGCAGAGGCTGCCAGGCGGCTCATTGAGTCCAGGTGAGGCCGTCACTGCACCACACAGGATGGGTCTGTGGGCAGAGTGGAGGTCTCAGGCCAGGTGGCCTGTGCTCACACAGGCAGACAAGGGCTGGGATGTGAGCCTGGGGGCTGATGCCCTGGACACCAGTGACGTGGAATTGGGAGGGGAAGGTGGCGCAGACACCCGAATGGTTGGGCCCTACACCCAGCTGAGCCTGCCTTCTCTCGTCCTTGACTGGCAGGAGCGCATCCCCCGACAGCAGGAAGGTGGTCAAGTGGAACGTGGAAGATACTTTTAGCTGGCTTCGGAAAGACCACTCAGCCTCCAAGGAGGACTACATGGTGAGTGGACCCCAGGGAGAGGCCACTGGGAAGGCTCTCTGGCCACTTCCCTCCAGGAAACTCACTCTGCCTACCCAGGCTGGCAGGGCTCCCGTGGCAGCCTGTCCCGTGCAGTACCGCAGACCTTGACATAACCAGTCCCCAGACTCACGACTGTGGAGGCATCTGTCTAGGCTCCTGGCYTTCTCCCCAAAGGACATCCCTTCCCTTCTTTTTTTTTTTTTTTGGTACTGGGGAGTGAACCCAGGGGCCTTAACCACTGAGCCACGTCCCCTGCCCTTTTTATTTTTTATTTTGAGACAGGGTCTCACTAATTGCTTAGGGCCTCGCTCAATTGCTGAGGCTGGATCTGAATTTGCAGTCCTCTGCCTCAGGCTCCCGAGCTGCTGGGATTACAGGCATGCGCCACCAAGCCCAGCTCCCTTAACATTCTTAACAGAACCTTAGCCTTGGCCACACACATATGGCTGCCTTTCCAACTTAATGAATGTTCAACATCTCCCAAGTGGATTTTTGGAAACAGATTGACAAACTGCTTTTCCTTGTGTGTGTTTATATTACAGTTAAAAGCTACCATCAGATTCAACTCCCTGCTCTTAATGTGTCCAGAACCATTCTGTTTTCTGGCCAAAACCTTTCACTTCTTAAGCCTCTCCACCAGCACTAGCAATGGGCTTTCTTTTCAGGACCATTTTTCACAAGAGACAAGGTTTCGCACTTCACGATAGTAACTGTGTACTTGACACGTAGAGAGTGACAAAGGTAGGTGTACTCACTAGCTGGAGTGACTCATTTTCACTCTGCAGTTTCACAGGCGTGATTCAGCAAAATTACAAATGCCTGCAGTCATCCTTGCAAGTAGCTCAAAGCTCAACTTCTAAATCCACACCAACCAAGCTCCTTGTTTTGTAATCACTGTGCCCTGATAGATGGAGCACAGATGCTGTGAGCTGGGACCACTGCCTGGCTGGTCTGTTCCCCTTGCAGTCATCATGGGAACCCAACAGAAACTGCTGGCATTTGTTGGACACTTGTTGTATCCCAAGGGCCTGGTTACATTTAATGTTCATTTAATGTTCAAACTGCCCTGTTAGGTATTTTGTTTTCCTTTGACCATTGAGGAGTAATATTCAAAGAACCTGAGGGATTTGTCTAAGGGACACAGCTAGTAAGTAGTGAAGCCAGTTTCAAAGCAAGGACTGCTGGAATTCAAGAGCCCTGCAGTTACTTGCCAGCCCCACTGAGGCCCTTTGGTCCCCACAAGTGTCTTGATCAGGAGTTTTCTCCAGGACCGCCTGGAGCACCTGCGGAGGCAGTGTGGTCCCCATGTCTCAGCAGCAGCCAAGGACTCCGTGGAAGGCATCTGCAGTAAGATCTATCACATCTCCCTGGAGTATGTCAAGCGGATCCGAGAGAAGCATCTTGCCATCCTCAAGGAAAATAACATCTCAGGTAGGGGCAAAGTAGTGGGGAGCCTCTGTGATGCCACCAACTCTGTCCCACACCCTGACTGAAGGAACAAATAAGGCTGAGCCTCAAGGCCAAGGACAGGCTTAGGGGAGTCCATGTCTCCCCGCAGTGTTTGGGGAGGGCCTACTGTGCCCTTTGGCTAGGAGCTCTCAGCACTCCTTGGGGAAATGCGGAGATACGATGAGAAAGGCCAGTAAGCAGTGAGGTGGACTGGATTTCTATCCACTCTCTGCAGGCCTCACTTTCCCCAGACTGAGGCATATTACCTGACCATAGGATCTTGAGTACTCACATGCAGCCCAAATAAACCACCTGGACCCCAGGGGTCCCCAAATAAGGTAGTATAACTATTATGTTGAAGGCAGAGTGATTCTCAAACCCGTGCCCAGCAGCAAGACCTTTGGCCCAAGCCTACTTGCACACTAGGCCCCAAGGCATGCTGAGTGGGGTCTGCATCAGTAGCTATATCCACAGCACACGGACACAGGCCATCGGTTTATTCCTCTGCCAACTGGTAGCTTTTAAAAATGCTTTTTTGTTCCCTGTTACTGAAACTGAGCCACAATTAATTGATCCATGGACTGAAACTTCTCTCCCTCGGTGTAAAGCACTTGGCCACATAGTAGATGCAGAGGCCATGGGGGAAGGACAGCCCCTCACTGCTCTCCCTGCCCACAGAGGAGGCGGAGGCCTCCGAGGTGGAGCCCCGCCTGGTGTACTGCTACCCAGTGAGGCTGGCTGTGTCCGCACCCCCCATGCCCAGTGTGGAGATGCACATGGAGAACAATGTGGTCTGCATCCGGTATAAGGGAGAGATGGTCAAGGTCAGCCGCAACTACTTCAGCAAGCTGGTAAGAGCCGAGGGGAGAAGGGCCCTAGCTGATGGCATGAGTTGGGGCCTGGGATCTTAACCAAGTCCTCAGGAGGCGGCTAGTGACCAGGGTGTGRGCCACTGCTGAAGTCAACGCCTTGGTCTTGCAGTGGCTCCTTTACCGCTATAGCTGCATTGACGACTCCGCCTTCGAGAGGTTCCTGCCCAGGGTCTGGTGTCTTCTCCGACGGTACCAGGTACAGGCTTGGGGTCCCAGCGGGAAGGCTCCTCTTGGGGGGGTGGGAGGCTGAGCCCAACACTCACTGAGGCCACTCTACAGATGATGTTTGGTGTGGGCCTCTACGAGGGGACTGGCCTGCAGGGATCACTGCCCGTACACGTCTTTGAGGCTCTTCACCGACTGTTCGGCGTCAGCTTCGAGTGCTTTGCCTCACCCCTCAACTGCTACTTCCGCCAGTACTGTTCCGCCTTTCCTGACACAGATGGCTACTTTGGCTCCCGCGGGTGAGAGCCAGGGGTGGTTGGGCCCCTTCTGCCCATGCCTAGGAAGCAGGCCGCCAGAGCATGGGGCCTGCCTTGCCCGCTGCTTCCTAACGTCTTAGGGCTTTGGAGTCAGGCAGYCTTGGAGGCAGTCCTTGCCTTCATCACTTACCAGCTGTGAGACCCTGGACAGGAGGCTTAACTCTGACAGCTTCAGCTTTTCGGGCTCTGTGGGCAGGCATGTGAATGCCCTGATCTGGTCTGGGGGCTTCTGGGTGATTTAGCTACATGGAGGGCAGCTCTGAGCAGTGTCCACCTCAGAGCCCTCACAGGTAAACTCATGGGGTGGGATGAGCACTGATGGAAGCACACAGCTGTGTTCAAGGGGAAGAAGTGGCCACAAGAGCAAGAGGCCACAGCTCAGTAGCCAGGGAGCCTTGGGTATGCCCTGTGCTGTGGCAACTGCAACTCAGCACAGCTGCTTCTCTAGTGTGGAGCACATGGCACCACAAATTCCTGAGCCTCTGTCCTCTCACCCATTCAGTGTATAGGGTCATGCCTTGCCCCAAGATACACGAAGGGCAAGTGTTAGCCTCTGGCCTGCCTATGGGGTATGGGGGTGACAGGTAGGTCCGATGGGACTGAATGTTCACCTCTGGCCCTAGGCCTTGCTTGGACTTTGCCCCGCTGAGCGGTTCTTTTGAGGCCAACCCTCCATTCTGCGAGGAGCTCATGGATGCCATGGTCTCTCACTTCGAGGTGGGTGTATCTCCCTGCTGGGGGAGAGGCAAAATTGCCAGCCACCTGGAGGGCAGCCTCTGATGTCCACCCTGTTCTTCCTCCCACAGAAACTGCTGGAGAGCTCACCAGAGCCCCTGTCCTTCATTGTGTTTATCCCTGAGTGGCGGGAACCCCCCACACCAGCGCTCACCCGCATGGAGCAGAGCCACTTCAAACGCCACCAGCTGGTCCTGCCCGCCTTTGAGCATGAGTACCGCAGTGGCTCCCAGCACATCTGCAAGAAGTGGGTGCCCCGGGGGAAAGCAGGGCCAGGAGGGATGGCTGGCCAGGCCAGGCTCATCTGGCCTAGGCAAGCCCCACCCTGAGCAGCTGCCCGCCTTGTCCACAGGGAGGAGATGCACTACAAGGCCCTGCACAACACGGCTGTGCTGTTCCTGCAGAACGACCCTGGCTTTGCCAAGTGGGGGCCGACGCCTGAGCGGCTGCAGGAGCTAAACGCAGCCTATCGGCAGTCAGGCCGCAACCATGGCTCCAGTTCTTCCTCCTCCTCCTCCTCCTCCTCAGAGGCCAAGGACCGGGACTCAGGCCGCGAGCAAGGCCCTAGCCGCGAGCCTCACCCCACTTAACACACCCTGCAGGGAGGAGGAGCCCCAGGGGTGCTGGTATGGACTGCTGGGACCTGGGCCTCTGGAGGCTGAGCAGATTCCAGGGCCCGCCCCTGGGGTGGCAGCAGGACTTGGGCTGCCAATGACATAGGAATCTTGTGGCTCTGCCAGGGCTCCCCCTCCCTGCCCATCCCCACTGCCTGCCTCAGACTCACTCCAAGTCCCTTGTAAATAGGAATAGGCCCAAAGCCTCCCTCACGCTGCCCCCGTTGGCGCCTTGTTTCATTTGTAAAAGGAAATACAGACAAACCCCCCCCCCCCGCACTTGTGAGGGTCTTGAGGACAGAGAAGGCTGAGAACCTGGAGCTACTTCTGGGACCAATTCCCTTTCACACCCAGGCTCACCTTCTCATGACCCCTGGGCCTTCACACCCCATCAAGGGATACAACTGGTCCCTTGCATAACAGGTTGGAAGAACCCAGAGCCTAGAGCCTGCACTGTTTAGCTCCAAACTCCATAGTTGGGCCTGCCCAGACACTTCTTGGGAGATGACCAACAGCTATGCCTTGTACCCAGGCCAAAAGCCACTTGCTGGCCCTGRTGCCACCCTGTGAGTGGGCAGCTACATGTTTTATTATAGTCAAAGCTTAGAAGCTAGTCAGCCTGAGAGCTGCCTCAGACCTCAGGGTGTGGTGCCTACTCTCTAAGGACCTCTGAGCAGAGACCCCAGGGCAGAAAGCAGGCTGGAGGTGCTCGGCAAGGCTCCCTCCAGCTGGGCCTCTCCTGAGATGAGGCATCTGCAGCGAGGGTCTGCCCTGTGGTGGGACCACCGTACTTACAGAGGCAGGGCCAGCTGTGCTTCAGGGCCAGGTAGCCTCCACCTCACTCTCCCACCTGTGGTGGGCTYTTCCTGGCGCCTGCCTTCTGCTTCCTCGTCCTTGTCTGGTTCAGACTGTTAGCAGCAAGTGGACAAAATAAGATGGCCAGGGCTGGACTCTGGTCCCTTTATTGAGACTGAGGGACCAGTGGGTCCATCCAAACAAAAATAAAATTTCTTTCCCAAAGCCTGCCTGCAGGCTGGGCACCCAGCATGTCCTGGCTGGGGTCCACGGCTGCCTCCCAACCCCCTAAACACAGGTCTGGCTTTCTAGGGGTGACAGGATGCTGGCTGCCCAGTGTCTGGAGACCTACGTGGGACAGGGAGGTGTATGCCCCCACCCCAGGAGAGCTGGCCCCGTTATCCATGATCTGCGTTGGGCCCTTGGGCTCAGTCATCGGCCAGGGTGATGACGTCGTACTCGATGCCCTGGTGCTGCAGCTGTTGCACGTGTTCGGGCACTGCCTCCTCTGTGCCAAACAGGCCCTGGGCTTGGGCCATGGCAGCATCAGCCACCGCTGCCAGGGGAGGGGAAAGCATGGTGAGCCCAAGGCCCCAGAGCTGCRCGTGGCCCCAGCCCCCATACTCCAGCCCTGTACCTGTGACGGCAGAGTGGGCTGCAGCCTCAAGCTGAGCCTGTGTGACCAGCTGCTGGCCTGGGGATACAGGCACATACTGGATCTGGAGGGGGAGAAACTGATGAGATGTGGTCCTGGAGAGGTTCTCCAGGCCCGGCTTGTCCAGTCCTGCAGTGCCCCACCTGGGACTCCTGGAGGAACGGGGCTCCTTGTTCATACTGGATGTGTGTGATCTGGCCCTCCTGTACCTGGAGAGAGGAAGCCGACCGTGACCCCCTGAAGGAGGTTGTACAGCCTTCCTCCCAAACCTACCTCACGCCATCCTGGCCTTACCTGGATGTGGTGGCCATCAGGGACCACGACATATTCCTGGGGCAGCAGGTGCTGGACACCATCCTGAGAGATGATATACTGTACCTACAGAGGAGCGGGGAGGAAGCAGGTAATAGGGCCTAGAACCACGGACACCCGTGGCAGCTGCACACAGGGACCATGGGAGCAGTGGCATGGAAATTACTGCTCTCTCCCAAGGTGGGGTGAGCATGGTGAGGAGGCACATCAAGAGGTCAAGTCAAGGGGTGAGTAGGAGCTCACCTGGTTGTCCGAGGTCACCAGGTGCTGTACCGTCTGACCATCTGCTGTGGTGATCTCTTGGATGTAGGTGGCTTCCTCCTGCCAAGACCAAGCCAGCTCTAGCTTCAGCTCTGTCTGCCCCCATCCTGTCCATGACCTGCCAGCATGGTCCTTGGCCCTGGCTCTTACCTGATTGGTCACTGTCTGTTCCTGGGCCACAATAATGTGTTCCTGGCCCAGGGCCTGCTGTAGCCTCTCTGGGCCCAGGACCCCGTGACTGGACTGGAGGGCAGCTGGGTAGAGAGGAAGGTGCTCATCAAAGGGTTCTGGGGGGTCTCGAGACTATCCCAGTCCAGAGATACATTCTGGGACAGTGGCTCAAGTCTCTGGACCCCCCTGGTGCCCACCCTGTGGCCCCAGGAGCCACTCACTATGCAGYGTGGCCAGCGTCTCGTCGTCACTATTCAGGATGATGGTCTGGGTGGGGGTCCGTGCTGGGGTGCGGACTGTCGGGGTGCCAGACTTCCTCCCGTCAGGACTGTGCAGCCGCTGGATGTGGAACTTGAGGTGCCCGTTACGGTTGAAACTGCATAGGAAGGAAGGAGGCTCAGGGTGGATCCGCCAGACGGGCCCAACAGCCCCTGTCCAGCCGCACCTGGCCTCACCGCTGCCCGCAGAGATGGCACGAGAAAGGCTTCTCATTGGTGTGGGTCAGCATGTGCCGCCGCAGGTCCTTCTTGTTCTTTGAGGCGAAGCTGCACTGGCTGCACTGGTGGGGCCGCAAGCTCGAGTGCTGTGCCATGTGGGCCTGTGGAAGGGACAGTCAGGGCACCACCAGGGTCAGGAGAGGTGGCAACAAGCCCCTGGGTCCTCGGAAGCAACTGGACTGAGGGAAACCCAGACCCTGCAGGCTGGGAGGAGCTGGGTGGAAAGAACACACCAAACCAAGACGGGGCGGCTGCGGCCCTGGAGTGAGGGGCCAGAGGCACCACCGTTAGGTCGCTTGGAAAATCCTGTCCCAGCTCTATACAGATGTGACTGACAGGCGCAGCGTGAGGGAATCTGTGACATTGTAGGGCTTAGTCCTGCTTAGCTGGGCCTCAGCCTTCCCATTTGAGGGGGGGGGTTCGAGGTCCTAGCCCCTCAGTGAGCTCAGGATGCAGTGCATGACGAGATCTGGAAACTGGGGATCCTCAGGCTAATGTTGGTGTGGCTGGACCTGGTCCACACCTGTCACACCAGCAAGTTGGGAGGCCAAGGCAGGAGGATGGAGACCAGTCTCAGCAACCTAGGCCCTATGTGACTGAGATACTGTCTCAWAAACTAAAAAGGGCTGGGAAATAGCTCAGTAGTAAGGTGCCCTGGGTTCACACTCTAGTACTGGAGAAGAGTTCAACAAGAGATGCACCTGGGAGCTGCCCCGTGTGCCTGCACAGCACCCCGCTGCCAGCCTCCAACACAGCTCAAGCTCCCCACCCACCCTGTCACCCTCTACACCTGTGCCACGCAGACCCAGCTCCACCATCACTGGTGTGGCGTCCCCCTCAGCAGGACTCCCCAGTCCTCCCCACTGACTCGCACTGTGCGGCACTCCCTGGCCTCACGCTGGCTTCACACTGGGAATGCTGTCTGGCCGGCCTTAGTCTGGCTGGCCTCTGACCAGACTGAGCTTCCTAAGAGCCGGGACCTTGCTGAGGGGTCGCCTTTAACTAAAGGACAGCTACACAAACTCATGGCCAAATGAATGACAGCAGAGGTATGGTGGGGGTAGCACTTACCCGGACCTCGGGCCACTGGCGGGCACTGAARGGGCAGTCAGGGCACTTGAAGGTGCCAGGCCCAGCATGGGCCCGTTTGTGACTCTCCATCTCAGCTCGGCCAGGGAAGGCCTCAGCACAAATCTTGCAGGAAAACTTTTTTGATGCTGCAGTGGCTGCAGATGGTGGGGAGGGGGGCACTGCCAGGCCCAGGGTTTTGCTGGCTGCAGGAGGTGGGGAGGCAGAAGGCTGGGAGTCCCCTACCCGGAGGGTCTTGGCTGGAGACGGTGGCTCAGAACCATCTCTGGGCAGCCCCCCACACTGCAGAAGGGGCCACTTGGCTCCAGAGGCCAGGGCATCTGAGCTGGGGAAGGAGATGGAGCCATCTGCAGTCAACTATGGAGAGATCACAGCACAATATGAGGTGCCGGGGAAGGGCTGGGAGGGGCTGGAGATTGGAGCCAGCTACTGCAAGACTCACCTCAATGTGGTGCAACTGGGTCCCATCAGCAGCCATGATGTAGTGGGTGCCAGCTTCTTTGAGGGTGTCACTTACCACAGCCTGGGCTGCCTCCCCTGGGGGCTCTTCACTGAGGGCCCAGAGAAGGGGATGGTGAGATGGAGTTCTGGGTGAGGATGAGGACCACAGGAAGCCCCTCTCCCAGGCAGCCAGCATCAACCCCTTCCTCAGATAACTGCCATTACAGATGACCTGGACATCACCGGATGAACCCTGGGGCTCTGCCCTGTGCCAGCTGAGCCTCTGCTGTCTCTTCTATAAATGGTTACCAAGTGCTCAATAAACTGTACTGCTCAAAAAATGGTCGGCTCTGTCCCTTTGATGGGCAGGAGGCAGCCAGGCAAAGAGCCCTAGGAGTCTGACCCAAGTCTGGCCAGTGGGATAGGAGAGGGCTGGGCAGGAACAAATGGGTGGATCTGCCACCATGAGCCTGGTCCCTGTGGAGGCAGGGCCAACTGGGACCTGCAGCCAAGAGCACAGTGAAGATGCAGAACCAGCCTGCCCAGGGCTGCGGACACTGTCACAGGCTCCCGCAGTGGCTGGAGTTCCCCAAGCACGTTCACATCTCTGCTCACACTCACTCACTGCAGGGAAGCCAAGTGCTGACCTCAAATGTGGGCAGCACCTTGACCATCGAACACAAAGGGCACTGGGATTAGAAACCAGAGAGACCAGGCTTCACAGCCTTACTCCCACGTGTCTGACTTAGTCCACTTACTTGACCTCCCTGGCCTACTTCGTTGTTTGTAAAGGAGGGAGACATGGATCTCAACAGGAATGAACTAGATGAGATCCGGATATCAAGTTCCTTGAACAGCTAAGTGGCCAAAGAATGGAAGCTCCTGACCCAAGGACAGAATCTTCCAGCAGCCTGTGACTTCCTACCACCTAGGGTGAGTGGGATGGCCCAGACCTGACTGCCACAGACACCTTCAAAAGGTGGTATGGGCCTTGCAGAAGACACATCTCACCTGTAAGGTGTGCCAGGGGCCGATGTCCCCTCCTCCATGGTGGGTGCTGTGATGACACTGTAGCCAGCTCCACCAAATGGACCAGGTGCCAAGGTGATCTGCTGTAGATCAGGAGTGCCTAGCTGGCTCTCAGCAGCCACACTGCCCCCAGGCTCTGCCACGTGGAGGGTCACCACCTGTGGAGTGGTGTCTTCGGGGGAGGGCTGCCCACCAGAAGACGCTAACCCTGCTTCCACGTCCTCTGACTTCACCACGGCCACCTGCAATGGCATGACTGGGCATGATGGGCAGAGCCTGGCAGAGGAGCTGATAAGACCCTCCTCCATCTCAGCGCCTCGAGGCTCATCCACACTCTGGCCAGATCCGGTGCTGCCACCACTCGTGTGCACAGCCCAAGTTTTCTAAAACACACCCTGGTTTTCCAAATCCCATTTAGCACCTGGAAAGAGCTAATAATAATGGGACAGTAACAGTACTCTCTAGGGGACATTTGACAATGTCCAAAGACATTTGTTTGTCACAACTAAAGTAAGATGTCACTGGAATATAGTTGGTAGAAGCCAGCTGCTAAACATCTCACACTTCCCAAGACAGTACCCACAACAGAGAATTATCTGGCTCAAAATGTCAATAGTAGTGGGTGTGGTGGCACATGCCTGTAATCCCAGTGGCTTGGAAGGCTGAGGTAGGAGGATTACAAATTCAAAGCCAGTCAGTCTCAGCAACTGAGCAAGGCCCTAAGCAACTCAGCAAGACTCTGTCTCAAAATGAWAAACAAAAAAGGCTGGGGGTGTAGCTCAGTGGTAGAGCACCCCTAGGTTCAATCCCCAGTACTAAAAGAAGAATAAAAAAAGAGTTCTTGTAAAGTAATATCAAAGATAATAGAAAAAGAGACAGAGGATACAAGCAGGTGATTCAGGAAAGGAGCAAAATGGTCTTTGACAAACATATGAAGAAGTCCAACTTCAATTATAATCCTGTTTTAAACTAAGACCATGAAATGTGCTTCCATCAGATTACACTGCTTGAATTAGTGAAAAAAMCAGAAAAAACCCAACCAATAAAGAACTGACTAACTGCCAGAACATCTACGTGATGAATGAAGAGCATGGCGTGGAGACGTGGAAAATGAGATTCGTAGGCGCTGGGTGCTGCTGAGGAGCATAACTGGTGCGRTCCCATTTTTTAAAGAAATGAACGTCTAGGGTTGTGTGTGTAGATGGGCAAGATCCTAAAGAAGTTCTTACTCTGTTAACTGGTATCCGAAGGAGGGAGGGTGTTAAGGACTTCACCTTGTAGACTGGACAGTTCCTAGTCGTGTTTTTTTCCCCAAGTGTATGTATACTTTTTTTGTGTGTGGAGGGGGACACCAGGGATTGAAGTCAGGGCCATGTGACCACTGAGCCACATCCCCTGCCCTATTTTTTGTATTTTCTTTAGAGACAGGGTCTCAGTGAGTTGTTTAGCACCCTGCTTTTTGCCAAGGCTGGTTTTGAACTCGCGATCCTCCTGTCTCAGCCTCCTGAGCCAAGTGTATGCTTTTATAATTAGAAAACAAAACACATGTGACAGGCGCCTGAGCAGCAATCAACAGGACAACYGAAAGTCCCGACACTCACCCACACATGTGGAATCCAGCCCATGATAATGGGGCCCTTTCAAACCATAGGGACACTACGGTTTTTTAACATGCCTTGTCAGACAACTTTTGGAAAAAATTAAGTTAGACCCCTGCTACCTTTCTGTATACCCAGAACCAAATTCTAGGTGGAATRAAGATTCAAGTGTGAAAAATAAAACCCTAAAAAAATATACAGATGCATGTTTCTATGCTCTTAGTGTGAAGGTTGGGGTAGGTCTTTCTAGGGATCATATCAAGGGCAAAACCCATCAACTATGTAAGAGCGTAAACTCCTACATGGCCCCGAACACATGGACTCTGTTCCATGACCATTTCCAGGCCACGCCAGCCCTTCTTCGCAGACCCCCTCTCTTCTCTGCCTGGCTCAGCAGTATGGTACTGCTCCAAGTTTTTAGAGCTCATCATCTGTGACGCACATGCTCCATCTTTCCCAGGGTCTGGGACAAAGGAGGCACTAGCAGACGCCCTCTGCCTTGGAGGTGGCCTGGATGTGTGGGGGCAGAGAGGAGTGTGGGTGATCCCTGGCAGTGGGTGGAGGAAGGAAGGGGTGAGGATGAGGACGATGAACTGAGGGTGGGGTGCAAACACGCCACAGTCACTGGAGTGCAAGAGAGGCCCAAGCTGGGCAGTCTCGAGAGTCAGTCTCAGGAGGTGGCTTGGGACTTGTTGAGAGGGGAAGCTTGTTCAGACCCTGAGGGAGCATCCACAGGAGCAGGGTAGCCTCAGAGTGAGGACAAAAACCAAATGAGAATAGGGCCCAGAAGCCACAGGCAACATCACCTCTGCTCAGAGTGGCAGAGGTCACTAGGAATTGGAGAGTGGAGAGAGATCCCCTGCCCTCCTTGGTCTCCTAGAGCCCCCCGGCTGTGAGCCAGGTCCCCGAGTCTGCCCACCAGATTTCAGTGGGCCTGTGCCCCCACTAACTGGGAGCTTCCGTGGGCAGGGCAGGCCTGGGTTGCTGCTCTCCRTTTTAGGACCCAGCATGCAGCTGGGTGCCGGGTGGAGGCCCAGGCAGCTCACCTGCAGGGCTGTGCCCCCCAGCTCCCGCTGGGCACTCATGTTCAGCAGCAAATCCAGAGCCGTCTGGGTGGCCATTGCCGTGGACTCCTCAGCTCCTGGGTGAGGTGAGACCTGAGCTTAAGAGAGGGCTGGCACCCGGCACCCACTCCACGCGTCCCCCACCAGCACTACTACCCTAACCCTGCGCTACCCACCTGGAGCTCCCAGCCCCCCAGAGCTCACCTTGCTGGTAGATGATGGTGGCACTGCCCAGAGTGTCAGAACAGAGAAGCGGGGGAGTCTCAGGAGCCTGGAAAGGTGCTGCCTCCGAGGGGATCTGTGGAGTGAGGACAGGACCGAGCCTGAGGGGGGTGGCCCAGATTCAAGCGCCACTCACGAGCRCCCCGGAGGTGTCAGCATTCCACCTCCCTTGGCTTGTTCACCTCCCAGCCACTCTTCCAGGATGCTGACCAGTTCAGTGCTCAGACGGACGGACCGAGCTCAGAGACTGACCGGCTAAGAAGGGCTAGGACTGGAACCAGGACCGTCCACCTCTGGCGCCTGTGTTCTACCAGCACACCACGTGCCCCATGTTTTCTGGGGCAACTGCAGGCGCTCACRTGGCAGAGAAGGAGAGCCACCAACCCAGAATCCATCCTTCCCTTCTTTCTTGCTAACAGCACTCTGAGTTTCACCGCAGGAGGAACAAAATCAACTTGAAGACTACATCTCTCAGCCTCCCTTACAGCTAGGTAAAGTGCGGCCACGCAGCCAAAACAGGGACTTCTGGTAAAGTTCGAGGGAAAGATAGAAAGGCAGATGGCAGGTATCCTTTTTACCCCCCCCATCCCTCCCTCTTGCTTCCTCTCTGGGATGTGGCTGAGAAGGCTGGTGTTTCTACAACCATACTGGACCATGGGCAACCGCAAAATGGAGTTGTGTGTCTAGAAAGGCTGAGTGACAGTGCTGACAGCCCGGTCCTCTGGAGCTGCCACACGGGTTCTGGACTCCTGACCTTTGGAATTCTGCCTGCATTTCCCTTCTCTCCACGGATACTGGAAGCCATGCCTGCTCTAMGCCTGAGGTGGCACACCTGACTCAGCTGGCCTTTATCACAGTGTAAAGGGCAGGGATTGTTCCGCTGARCCCCAATGTGCAAAGGAAGACACTGAGGTCAGGAGAGGTGGCATCACACCTGGCCCTCGCCCCAAAGCCCTCCACTGCCACCTGCTCACCTCAGGAGGCCCCGGGGAGCCGGGGGGTGGCCCAGGGGCCGCGCTGTGCTGCTGCTTCAGTTCCTCAATCTGCTGCAGGGAGAAGAAGGGGCGGCGGCGGGAGGGGGGCTCCTCGGGGTGGCGCCGCCCCCACTCCTCGAAGCTGCTCGCGTGGCGGCAGCGCACGTGCAGGCGCAGGTTCTTCTTGTGGCGCGTGCTGAAGTGGCAGTACTCACAGGCAAAGGGCTTGGCTCCTGCGGGCACAGCAGGGAGCGCTCCCTCACTGCCCCCAGGAGACGTCCCCAACCCGGGACCTCTCCGCTGCCACTCCCAGCAAATCATCCTATGCTTCTACAGTGGTGGCCAGGACTGCAATGGATCAGGCCACCAGCTGCACTCAATCTTCCTAAGAGTGACAGTTTCCAAGGTCACATGGCCACACCCCCCCAGGGAAAAGCAAACCTGGCTAAGGGAACTCGAGCTCCTTCTCTGCTCCCCAGCGTGCTGACCAGCGGCTGGGGGCCAAGGGGACAGAACACTGCCTCTCCACGCCGGGCCTGCCTGCTGCACTGCAGAGCCCGGGTGCGACCTGGCCRCGCAGGGAAGGCCGTTCACTCCTGAGGACTAGGTGCTCCCAGGCTGAGCTGCCACGGAGAGGAGCCTCCGACCTGGGTCATGGGGAACCGAGGGTGGGGGGCGGGTTGTGCCAGCCYGACCTGTGTGCTTGACAGCCACGTGGGACAGCAGGAAGTCCTCCCGGAAGGTACGGTAGGGACAAAAGCTGCATCTGAAGGGCTTGTCGCTGACATGGGAGAGCTGATGGTTCAGCAGGGCCTTCTTGTCCTCACAGACGAACTCACAGAACTCACACTTAAACCTGGGGCGGAAAGAGGGGGGAAGCTCAGCAAGGGGAAGGGTGCTCCCATCACCGGGGGCCTCCGCGGGACGTACCTGCGGTTGGCGACAGCCTGGATGTGTGTGAGCAGGTGCATTTTGAAGGTGTAGCGCTTCTTAAAGGACTTTCCACACTGCAGGGGGTGGATGGAGTCAGAGGGGGAAGGCCTGGGGAAGGCCCTCGTCCCCACCCAGGGCTTGGCCCACTCACCTTGTCACACATGTGGGGCTTCTCAGTGCTATGCGTCTTCATGTGCTGTGTCAGTCTCTTCTGCATGGGGTACACGCGGCCGCACACAGGGCAGGGGAAAGAGCTCAGTTTTGGGGTCTGGGAAGACATGAGAGGAGGCCAGATGAAGAGGACAGAGGAAGAGAAGAGAGGAGGGTCAGACTTCACCTCCTGYCCACTGCTGGTCCCAGCCCCGGCCCCCAGGCTGGATCCTCCCGGGTCAGGGCCCCCACTCACCGGGTCTGGCCTCTTCTTCCTAGGAAAGGAAGACCCAGGAGTTAAGGCTCAGCCTCCTCAGCCCGCATGCCCCTCACATCCCCCGACTCCATCTTAGTCCTAAGTTCTTCTCTTCCCCCCTAAGATCCTTCCTCAGGTTTCCGGGATGGGGGTTCACTAGGGACAATGCTGAGAGACACGGTGTGACACGTCCTGCACTTGGCCACCTTGGRAAACCATCTCCCTTCCCAATCACAAAGTACTGAGAAAGTCCCACAGGAAAGAGCTGTGGGATGACAGGCACCCGCCTGGCGGTCCCAATCTTACCTGGCCCCCAAATTGCCTTCCATTCCCCCCGCATCCCCTTCCCTTTCCTTCCTTCCTTTCCTCTTTCCTTCTATCCCCCCACATCCCACTGAACCCAGGGGCTTGCCTCCACTCAGCTACACCCCAGCCCTTTTATTTTGAGATAGGGTCTAAACTGCCCAGGCTGGCCTTGAACTTGTGATCCCTCCTGCCTCAGCCTCTCAAGTAGCAGAGATCACAGGTGTGCAATCCCACACCTGGTTTTTAAGGAAACCCACAGGCATCCTGGAAAGCCGACTTCTCTCTCCACAGACCCACTCTGAGCCAGGGCCCCAGTGGTCTCCCCCAACCTGCTCACACACTGCTCCCAGGGAGGCCATCCCTTGCGGAAGCTGCAGACCTGACTAATTTCGGCAAGCAACCACCAGTCTCCAGGCACACCTGCTGCTTCTGGTCCTAGGTCTGTTCTCAGCACTGATAGAAGTGTGATGCGGAGCGCACAGGATCGCTCATCACTTACAGAACCCCCAAGCACAAAATTCCCTTCAATCCCCTCAACTGTCCCCATTTTCCAGATGAGAAAAGAAAGCAGATGGGGGCCCCAAGGCCTCACTCCTGCCCTATCCTAGCGGACGTGACGGGAATAATCACCCTGGCTTCCTGGTCCTGTCTCTAATTCATTGTGAACCGGGTGGGCCCGGAGCAGGAGTGTGGTAACTGGGAACCATGGTGAACCGCCACCTCCCCCACCCAGCAGCCCCTCCCCACCACCCCACACGCACCGACCTGTCTCGGCTGTGAACAGCCGCATGCCGAATGACGTCCTTGCGGTAGACACTGGTGTAGCTACACTCGTCACATTTGTAGGGCTTGCTGCCCACGTGGTTGAACATGTGCTCCTGCAGGAGAGGCAGAGACCGGCTGGGCCCAGCTTCCCCTGCTTGCACCCACAGCCGTGGGGTTCCACAGGGCTCACAGACCAAGGGTGTGCAGGCAGCAGGCGCATTACAAGGGCCAAGGCCTGTGAAGGCTGGGCACTCTCCCCAGCAAGAGCACMCACTCTGCGCCAAGCCTGTGCCAACTTGCCATCTGATAAAACAGGAAACAGGCTCCAGGTGAAAGGCCCTGAGATGCAGAGCCTGGAGTGTGGCTAGGCGGCCCGGCTCCTCAGCTCCGCCCTCCCCACTGTGCTGTGGAACACCCCTGTGGCGCCCACAAAACAACTTCCAGGTCAGGGTCCCTGTCTGCAGGAAGCAGTACATAAAGAAAGCCTGTGACTCGGACCCCAGTGCCTGACGTACCCCACAGCTGCGACCTGCCATAGCACACTGGCCAGGCCAAGTAGCAGCTTGCTGGGACAGTAAAATGGGGTCCTAAAACCCTGCACCTCGTGGGCCACGGGAGGACAAGATTAGCCAAATGAAGATGGGCTCGGGGCTGCTGCAGGCCCACCTGGCACCCTGGGTTAGGGGAAAAGGAGCCCCTTTCTCGAGACACATCGCTGCCCTCTGCTGCAAAGCTCCAACACTGACCGAAGAGGCCACTCCCGCCAGAGTGGGGTGGCAACAAGCAAAGCTATGACATCCACAATGGGAATGGTACCCGTGAAAATAGGGTGCCACCAGGCCACCTCCACACCACCTCAGCAGCCCTCTGCAGGCCCCTCCCAATGTCCCAGTGAGGCTAGGACTACTGCTTTGCACATGCTGAGGCCAGAGGTGTCCTGAAAGGAAGGGACAGGTGCAGCATGCTCAGGCCACCCGCCCCAGCACCACCAGTGGCCTCTGTCTGCTTCTGCGTCTCCCCTTCCCCCCGCTGTGGCACCTTGAGTGAGGACCAGCGGCGGGAGCGGTAGCTGCACTGCAGGCACTTGAAGAGCTGGGGGTCACCAGCCTCGTGGGAGTTGACGTGGAAACGCAGGTCCTCATGGGACAGGAAGCGTGAGCCACAAATGCGGCATAGATAGGGCCGCAGAAGCGGTTTGGGTGACTTGTAATAATACCTGCCAAGAGGGTGTGGGGAGAGGTCTGGCTGGGGGCTCCAGGGGACCCCAAGGAGACCCTCACCCGCCTCTCCCCCCAAGCTCCGCTCCGCGTACTTTCGGTATTTCTTGCCCAGAAATCGCCGGGAAGGTCGACCACGGCGGCGCGGTGGGGCATCGGGCTCCTCCTGGCAGGATGGGGCTGCAATCTCTGTGTCGGACTGGCTCACACCAGGCTCCATGGTGACCTTGCCGGCCTTGCCCAGGGCCTCCAGGTGTCCGGGGCCTGAGGAGCTGGGAGCCTCAGGATCTGGTGGCCCCAGAGGGCTCTTGGTGCTCTGCGAGCTCACTAGAGGATTTCCCCCATCTGCTACAGACGTGCAGGCCGCAGATCAGCCAGACGCACAGGACTGATGTGGACAGGCGGGCCAGAGGCCAGCCAGATAACCCCACACCCAGTCACGGACCACCAGTGCACACACTGGGTCACCTGCAGACCACCCAAGGTCAGAGAGGCAGGCTTAAATGGGACAGTCTGGGGTGACAGCAAGGGATCTGGGGACCTCCCAGGCAGGATGCTGGGCTCATGTCAGCTCCCACTGACTGCTGTGCATTCTCAGGGAACGTCACGCCCCCTCCAAGCCTCATTTGTCCTATCTGTCGAGTGGTCTACTGTGGGCTTGGGAAGTGACAGCAGTGCTCTACTGCTGGCCTTCCCAGGGAGGCTGTGGCCAGGGGCCAGTGGGAGGCAGGGAGRAGGAGGCACTGTGCCGCTCACACCCTCTGTAGGGAAGCCATCTGAGTGTGTCACCTCTTCAACCAATGCCCAGTCGGCCACTTTAAGAACCAAACCTCACAAATGAGAGGTGGGAGGTGGCGGGCACGCGCCAGGTTCTCCCCGCACTGCCTCAGGCCTCAAGTTTGTGCTCTCCGTTCAGTAATATTTACACTTGGTGACTGTTCAGTTACAGAGACCCACACGCCTCTTCTGCTGTGACAACTTGCCACTGGATGTCACCTTCACAAGCTGTGCTAGAGTTTCCCTGGCTGGGGCCTGGAGAGCGCTCCCGTCCCCCACAGGCCTGTGGGCCAGCCCGGGCAAGGCTGCTGCCCTGCGGGCAGACTCAGTGCTCCATGGGAGCGCGCAGGGAGGAAGGCCACCCTTGACCCACTGACAACCCTCACCAGCAGACAGGTCTGAGGTCTCCAGACGAGGCAGCTTCCGGGGCCGGCCAGGTCTCCGTCGTGGTCTTGGGGAACTGGGTGTGGGACGCTGGAGCCGAAGCTGCCGGCCTCGGGGCTCATCCTCAGCTGGATTGTAGTCGCTGTCCTCTGTGGGGACAGGAGGACAGTGGCTGGGCCTGCCCTTCCAGCTCTGACCCCTAGCTGGCTCCCCTGGGAAGAGGTCACCTCCCCATCTCTGCCTGCTCCTCCCCAAAGCCTACCAGTAAGACCCCCCAGGAAGCCCTCCTGGGCCCCATAGACTGACAGCTCCTCCYTCCAGGCCACTGTCTTCTCTGCGTCCTTCCTGGCACCTGCTGAGCTCGAGCAGTATCTTTATGTGAAGCAGAAAACAGCGCCCCTTCCTCAAGACAGTCACCAGAAAACCGCTGCAGCGAACAGGAGTCCACAAACTGCACCACTACCCAGCGGCCACCAGCCAAGACGGCCACTGAGCACTTAAAAAGTGCCTCCTCCAACCCAGCACAGTGGCACAGGCCTGTCATCCCAGTGGCTGAGGCAGGAGGATCTCCAGTTCAAAGTTGGCCTCAGCAAAAGTGAGACGTTAGGGGCTGGGGATGTGGCTCAAGTGGTGGCGCGCTGGCCTGGCGTGCGCAGAGCCCTGGGTTTGATCCTCAGCGCCACATACAGACAAAAAACAAAGACATACGTCCACCTAAAACTAAAAAAAAAAAAATATATATATATATATAAAAAGTGAGATGTTAGAAAAACTCAGTGAGACCCTGTCTCTAAATAAAAAATACAAAACAGGGCTGGGGGTGTGGCTCAGTGGCCAAGGGCCCCTGAGTTCAGTCCCCAGTACCTAAAAAGAAAAAAAAAAAAAAAAAAGTTCCATGACAAACTGAGATATGATCTCAAAAATTAGCACAAATAACTGAAGTAAAATGACTTAACTTTTTAAAAATAAAATAAACGATTATGGGGGCTGGGGATGTGGCTCAAGCGGTAGTGCGCTCGCCTGGCATGCGTGCGGCCCGGGTTCGATCCCCAGCACCACATACCAACAAGGATGTTGTGTCCGCCGAGAACTAAAAAATAAATATTAAAAATTCTCTCTCTCTCTCTCCTCTCTCACTCTCTCTTTAAAAAAAAAAAATAAATAAACGATTATGTGTTGAAATAGTATTTCAGATGTCAGGTAAACAAGAAATATGATCAATTTTACCTTTTTCTTTTTTACTTTTAGCATGACTACAAAAAAAGCCCCAAAGCTGCCAGCCTCGGGCAGCATTTTTGCTTACATTTCTGTTGAATAAATGGGAATAAGGYCCCGGGCTCTCTTTTAAGTGTGCAGCCTGCACAAGTGCAGAGTCCTGGTCCCACAGCTGGCCTTCGCTCTTACAGTGGAAGTCCCCTTTGGTATATCTGCTCCCACGGGGGCCAGAAGGATCTCAGTGAGTGTCTGAGATGGGCAGGGGACGGCAGGCTTGGGAACCAAGGTGGCTTACCCTCCAGGTCATCAATGGCACCGGCATCTACAATGTCATCCTCCTCCTCCTCCTCGGGCCCCTCCTCCTCCTGGCTCTTGGTCGATGGGCTGCATTTCCGGAGACGTCCCTTCTTACCGGCTGCTGCTGCTGCTGCTGCTGCTGCAAGGGTAGACGAGCCTGCTGTGTCCGGCTCTCAGGACTCCACCCTCCATGCCGTCCACGCCAGGAAGGCTGCTGCGATGTACCTGGGCGGAAGTGCCGCTCCCGCATGTGCCGCAGCAGCGTGGCCTTGGTGCCGCTGCGGTACTGGCACATCCTACACTTGAACTGCTGCACCACCACCACCTCCATCATGGCCTCCAGGCTCTGGAGGTCCAGCTCCTCAGTGCCAGAGGCCGGGGGCAGCTGTGCCAGGGAGCTGGCCCCACCCTGCACCTCCTCCGGTGGCTCCAGGCATGTGGATGTGGACGTGGGGCCATCTGACAGGGCCTCGATGGCGGCCAGGCTGCGGGCCAGGGTGGAACTCGACATTGGTGATGTCATGGGGGCACCTGGGAACAGGTCAGAGGATTGGGGGAGGTTAGCATAAGGCAGGACTGGCCATGAGCTCCAGCTGTCCCTCCCAGGCAGGCCCAGGGATCCTAGAACCAAATTCCCCACCAGAGGCACTTTGCCAAGAGGGAAACGCGAGGCCAGAGCAGCGGACAATCTGCCAAGACCACACAAGGTCTGCAATCTGTGGCAGAACCTGTGCTCTCCCGTCCCTGCTCCCTGCAGGGCTCCGGGGCTGCTATTGGTCTCACCATCATCAGGGCCCTGCAGGATCAGATAKCGAGTGGCCTCAGCCCCAGCATCTTCAGCACTGGTCACAGTGATGCAGCCTAGGCAAAGAGAGGACGAGGGTCACCCTCCTGGAAGGGGGTGACAGGGYAGGCCCACTCACAGGTCCCCCACCTCCTGCAACTGGAAACCAGCTCCATGGTCCACTGACCCTTGGGTGCATCTCTGCAGGGCAGGTGGGAGGCTTGGTGTGGGTGAGCCGCAGGCCCAGTCACCAGGATTCTGCGGCTACCCCATGTCCCTGGCCTTTTGAGACCTGGAAAGTGCTCCTCCTCCTGTTCCAACTTCTTCAGGGTCAAGAGTTCCCTGTGCCACTTTCTGAGTTGGCTTCCCAGACTGTCCCAGGGCTCTGTAAGTTGCTAGGGCCTCTGTCATGCCACTAATGACAGAAAGCATAGCGTGGTACTTAACAGCATGAGCTCTGGGGTTACGTGTTTTGGCTTATGGCCCAGGACCATCCTCTGCCCCTGCCTAGTGACAGTGGTGACGTACTCTGTGCCTCAGGTTTCTCTTCTGGACGGTAAGGATAATGACAGTATTCACCTTTGGGGTTACTGGGAGGATTAATGAGCTCCTGCATGTAAAGTGTTGAGAAGTGTCCCCAGCACAAAGTAAGCGATAACTGTTTCTGTCATCAATCGAATGCTGTCCCATGGGGGCACCACATGAAGAGCGTTACTGCACTGACTCATTTGATCCTGTGTCATCTGCCACCATGAAACAGGGGTTATCCTTTCCCTCTCACACACTTGTCCCAGAAAGGTAAGTAGCCTGTGTCCACACAGCTGGCGCTGGACTTCGTGGGGAAGTCCCTGCGAGGCAGCTCTGTGGCCTCTGACTCACTCTGGATGAGGTCGGGTCCGATGGTGGACTCGATGATCTTGTCAATGGCAGAGCCCAGGTCTGAGGAGGAGGCTGCGCAGTCGGACACCAGCATGCTGGGGTCGGGGAGCGCGCTGGAGTGCACCAGTGCTGGCGGCCCGCCTGGCACCCCTGCCACAGGCCCACGGGACACRGAAGACGAATCAGGGAGGTAGCCATGAGGCAGAGGGTCGGTGCTTGAGCTGCTCTCAGACACCTCTTCCTGGATGGCAAGAAATGGGGCAGTTCAGGAGCCAGGGAGGGGCACCAGGGAACCTGCAGCTCCCCCYGCTGTCCTCGGCTCTCCAGCCCAGGACACGGTAAGTGGGGCCACCCGCACCCTTAGCCCCAGTGAGGCCCCGTGGGAGCAGCTCTCTAGTCAGAGTCTACTGAAAAAAAGACCAGTTGACTCTCGTCAGGGGCTGCCCCCAAATAAGAGAAGGGGTCTCTCCACACCCCTGCCACAGCCAGCTGGAGGCGTCCCAATGGGCTATGGCAGGGACCCTTCCTTCAGCCTACACCTTCCACACTGCCCGAGGCCAATCTCTACTCAGCCTGCAGCACCACTTAGTGGTGCCTCTTTTAGAAAGCCAACCCTGAGCCCGAGGTCAAGCGAGGACCTCCCTGTCCTCTGTGCTGCGGCCACCCGTGTCCCCATCACTGTGCTACATGATGGCAGGTGCTTCTGCACTTCTGAGGCTTTCCCAGAGAGGTCTCCCAGTGAATCCAGGCAGGGCCAAGACGTGAACCAGGACGCTGCCCCTCAGGGGTGGGGACACTGGCCGTGCAGTGGAGAAGCCCAATGTGGATGCAATTCCTCAGCCCTACAGAAGCACTCCCCCACTCGAACCCCAAACCTGCAGGATGCTTCCTGCACCACGATCACCCCCATGCCCGGCTGTACTCTCCATAAGGGCGTGGACCACACCTGTCTTGGCCCCAACTGTATCTCTAGGGTCTAGTGCATGCTGGACACATGGCGGGACCATCTCTGGTGACTTAATGAAACTCCAATGAGAGACAGGGCCACTGCTTTGTAGCTCTGTCGAGAGATGTCCTGCAGACCACCACCTGTAGGTAACACCACCTGCAGGTAACACCACCTGCAGGTAACCACGACAAGTGAGGTGTGCTTACTACGAGCTGAGAGAGGTTTCATCGGCTTTGCATATACTGACTCCTTTAATCCTCACAAAAACTCTACAAGGCAAGTATGGCTGTCATTCCCACTTTTGAGATGAGGAAGTCAAGGGTTAGAAGTTGGGGAGCTTGCTCAAAACCTCAGAGATACAAAGTGGCAGGGCCAGGGAGAGATGACTTGCAAAGTGCTCCCAGAGAATGGTGGCAACCCCGCAGGCATGGAAGCAGGGACCCCGCTTCACTTCTCAGACAGGTCTCCCAGTGAACGCAGGCAGGGCCAAGACGTGAACCAGGACGCGGCCTCTCAAGGTGTGGGGACACTGGGCCGTGCAGTGGAGAAGGCGAGAAGCCCAAGCCTAGATCTGCGYCCTGACTCTGTCCACAGCCTGTGCCTTGATTTCCTTTTTCTTTAAAGAAAAAGTGGCGTGTGCCTTATAAGAGATGAAGCTGAGCTGAGAAAATCCACGTCAGGTGTTTGGCATGATGCCTGGCTCAGAAACGACCAATATCAGCACCAAGCAAGCCTTGCTGGCTGCTGCTCCTGGGCTGCCAGGTACSGCTGCCCTGGTCCCTGCCTCCACCCACGCCGTCCAGCCCGGTCCATACCAGAGAGCGGCCACCGCGGTCTGAGCTTTGCCCCACGCCAGAGTCGTCGACCTCCCCGGGTCCTGGGACGGACGCGGCGTCGCTGCTATCGGCAGACACGGCTTCTGAAGTGCACACGCACAGGCCGCTCTCCGAAGGTTCCTCGGGCCGCCCAGGACGAGGGGCGGCGTCGCTACTGCTCTCCACCTCGTTCTCCTCCATCGGTTCAGGGGGCCGCCTGACAGCGGGGCGCAGTGTCTAGGGCTTTCACTCTGCGAGAAGAGGTGACCAGAACTGGAACAAGTGGGCCACCTCCCTGGCCTCGACGCCCGCGACTGCCCCGTCCGCACTCTTGGGCCCATTTTGCAGATGCGAAGACTGAGTCTCCGACGGGGCGGGGCTTCACGTGTACTGCGAGGGGAGCTCCCGGAAGAGCACGGGGAAGCCTTCCTCCTAGGCTAGGGCCGTTCCCCGCAGGGTGGTCACTGGCCGGTAATCTTGGCCCTTTCCCCGGCCCCGCACAATGGCTCCATTTACTGGCCCCGTGGTTCAGCCCTTCGGCCCCCCCACAGTCCCCCCGGGTGCGGGGTCCGTGGTACAACCCGCAGGCCCCCTGGGTCAGTGGTTCGCTCCCCCCGCCCCTGGCTCCCCTGCGGAGGGGGCTGACAGAGACGGTCTCGGGGCCTGGTGACTCGGGGCTGTCCCCGGCGCTGCCTGAGCCCCAGGCCCGACGCCATCTTGTGGCGGCGCCGGGTTTCCGCTCAGGCAAGTGCGAGAGCGACTAAAGGGCCTGGGACCCCGGGGCCCTGTTCGGACAGCCCCGCCGGCCCGGGACCTMGCCGCCGGCTATCTCGGCAGTGGGGCTTTACTCCACAGCAGGGTGCAGGGTGGCGGCCTGATATTACCCGACGCTCACCTGAGGCTTTCGTTGCCGCCTTCCTCTCCGGCTCCGGCATCGACGAGGTCGCCATCCTCTTTTCCCCGCTGCGGAGGAACCCATCATCCTACTGTGTGCCGGAACTACTTCCACCGCAGCCCCAGTGAAAAACAGATTCCCAGTGTTCCGAAAAGTCTCTCTGAGGCCTCAGAACCATAATTGGGTCAGGAGGGACTCTAGAATTTTACCTGTTGCCTAGTAGAGCTGACGGGTCCGAGGGGGCGCCTGGGACTATTTTCTCTCGCGGCGGACGGCTACGGAGGAAGTCGTGTGACGTCACTGCAGGTCCCTACCCCGGGCCGCAGGGTGGGGCGCGGCGGCGGCGGCGGCGGCGGCGGCTTGGGCTCTCCCGGGGCGTGGCTCCTGGTGTGTCGATCACGTCCTTTCGGGGCCGCTCTGGAAAGCGTGCTGCGGCGGGAAGTTCAGACTTGGCGGGAGAGGAGTGAATCCTGCCATCGCCTTGCCTGTCTTTTTACCGATTGCCTAACGCCGACCTCGGGCCTGAGGGAATCTCGTCCGATTCGGTTTGATGTGCCCTGGCGGAGGGGAGCACGTGGTCCTTGTCGTACAGGTGGGGAAACCGAGGTTTCTAGACGGGAAAGACTGGTTCCATTTCGTGTCAAGGAAGGGACTTAGCAGGCAAGCCGGATGGCGAAGTCAGAGGACTGGAGCGTCCTCTGCATACGCTTGTCCCATTAATGGGACTGCCGGCCACGACACCCTCCCACAGCTGCCTGGGCCTCTCATAAATAACGCACGTGTATGTAAAGGTCTTCCTCCAACCTTTCAGAAAATGTATGCCCCTTCCCCAGGATGCCCCAAGTGCCACCTTCCCTTSAAGCTTATTAGCATTTTGCAATGGAAGCGCACTGGAGAGGGAGTGAGGCACCCTGGTTTTGTCCTTAAGTTTGTGTTGCACAAGTGTTTTTTTTTTTTTTTTCTCCCCTCAATTGGAAAATACACATTTTTGGGAAAAGAATCTTAAAATCCTTCTGTGGAGAAAACTTATTGAAAGGGGCAAAAGTGCTTTGAGCTGTTATTTTTGTGCACTGGAGCATGAGGGGAGCATGAGGAGGTTCCCCGGTTTTTCCCTAGGTGAGGTTTGCCTTTCCTAGGCTTCCTTCTGTGCTAGAGGCAATAGAGCAGGAGACTGGCCTTTGCCACCACGTCACAAGATTGCAGTCTGTCATGATACCGTGGAACAGACAGGAGACCAAGGCCCAGAGGAAAGACTCATTGGCCCAAGACCTTGTGGTTCCTTGGAAACAACTTATTAGAATCATTCCATTCTAAAGTCAAGTGACCAAATCTTGGGCTTTTTTACTGGGAATCGAGCGTTCTCCGCACCAGGGCATGCTGTTGGAAAGAATTCTGGAAGCAGTGAAGGAAAGGGCTCTAGGTCAGAGGGGTGTTAAAGTGGACCATTGAGAAAAGGGCATCCGAAAAGGAGGAGGTGTGTGGAGCAACGTATGGGTGGCACAGGCTTTGGCACAGCATGGTATCTTAAGAAAGCAGGGCTTATCCTCCATGTGGAGAAGAGAAAGCCGAGGCTCTGAGAGGGGAAGTGACTGCAAGGTCAAGAGTGTGGAGCTGGCATGTAGACCCAGGAGTGTCTGATTTCAAGGCCTGTAGAACTTAGGTGCCCTGTGAAGTATGCCTAGTAATCCTGACTTTTAAGATACTCTGTGCCAGTCACTTCCAAGAGCTTTATATAAAATAATTTATCCTCAGAACCACCTTATGAAGTAGTTGTGGTTATTATCATTTTGCATATGAAGAAACAAGCACAGAACAATAAAGTCATCTAAGAAATGAAACAGTGTATATGAAAAACCAGAGATATGAAAAATTGTGCTCTATATGTGTAATATGAATTGTAATGCATTCTGTTGTCATATATAACATTAAAATTAAAAAAAAAAAAGAAATGAAACATTAGAAACCAAGCAGCGCCATCCTTTTATATCGCTGTACCATTTCTAGTGTACCTCTAATATTAGCTGGTTCTTGAATGGATACTTTGTCTTTTCCTCAGACATTTTACAGATGAGGAAACTGAAGCCCTGAGAAAGGAATTGACTTGCTCAAAATCATACAGCAAGTTTCCTGGTCTGTTGGAGAGGGCATGAGTCCCAGCCAAGTCTCCTGCAGCAGATAATAGTCATACTAGCCAGTGTTTATCAAGCACTTACCAAGTTCCAAATGCTGCATCGAGTTCTTTAGACTGTAATCACAACAACCAGAAATCCTAGATCCTCTCAGAATTCCCACCTTGCCGATGAGGAAACRGGCTCAAGAGCAGTGAAGTGGCTTGTCCAAGCTCAGGCACTTGATGGTCAGCACTTTTGGAATTTCAGCCCTGGTTTCCTGGCCCAGCCCAATCTCCTCATGCCCAGATGCCCCAAGTGGGCAGCAGGGCTGAGAGTAGGCCACTAGCAGGTGGGTGCTTYGTGGCTCCTCCCTACCTTCCCTCTATGCCATTGCCATCTAGGGCTTGGCTAAACCTGTTTTTAAAAACCTATTTATAGCTTAAAACTGTACCACCACTTGGGATAATGAATCCCTTCAGTTGACACCCTGTGGTGTAAATTAAGGCTTCCTTTCATTTGTCCTAAATCTTCAGGATTGGAGGTGGGTGGGGCAGTGGGGAAGGTCCCTAACATCTCAACCCTTAAATTCAGAAAATAGGCTGAAGTCCAAATAATATTTGCCTGTGTGTGTGGCAGTGATTTTTTTAATATTTATTTTTTTGTTGTAGTTGGACACAACACCTTTTATTTATTTTTATGTAGTGCTGAGGATCCAACCCAGGGCCTTGCACATGATAGGCGAGCATTCTCCCACTGAGCCACAACCCCAGCCCATGACAGTAATTCTTGATATTCAGGTAGCAAGTAACATGCACACAGGCATCTCGTCTGATCATACGGAGACTCGAGGAACAGGCAGGGCCTAGATTTTGTCTCCTTTACCCTGCCTATTTCCTATGGTATTGCAACATTTAGCCCAGTTTTACTGTATGAATGAAGAATGATCCCTCATTTTACAGACAGGTAACAGACAGAAGATGAGGGATATAAATCAGGAAAATAGGAATCATGTCAGATGGTTCAAAAGAGATAATGTAAGCCACGTGGTGGCACGTGCCTGTAATCCCAGTGGCTCAGGAGGCTGAGACAAGAGGATTGCAAGTTCAAAACCAGCCTCAGCAACTTAAGAAGGCCCTAAGCAACTCARTGAGACCCTGTCTCTAAATAAAATACAAGAAAGAGCTGGGGATGAAGTCTGGAATTAGCTCAGTGGTGAAGTTTCCTGGGTTCAATCCCCAGTACCACCAAAAGAAAAGAAAAAGGAATTTAATACTGAGAATCAGCAACAGAGCTGTTTGATGGCAAAACAGCAGCCTGGGGGTCGAGGCAGACCTGACAATGGCAACCTCAAGAAGCCCCAGTCTCTCTGGAGCAGGAGGTATAAAGAGAGCAGATGGATCACTAGAGACCAGGAATTGGGGCTCTTCAAGGCCCATCTCGCAGGAGCTAAATCCTTGGAGGTGTCTCCGAAGCTGCCCAAGCACCTCCCATAGCCCACCTTTCCCAGGACTGAGAGATGGGGAGAGATACCCTGGTTTCTTTCTTCCTGATTCTTCCCTTCCAATCTGTCAYCAGGACTTCCCATTGGCTGACCCTAGCTGGAAGACAGTTGGCAAAGGAGCCTGGGAAACATGGTTTGCAGAGCTCAGCCTTTGCCAAATGGAGCCCATCAGGAGAATGTGAGAGAATGGATCTGAGATGAACAGAAAATTAACTGATCCAAATGATTCCATGCTGTAGGAAAGGGCCCCCTTCCAAGTCCATGTGATCTTTCTCAAGTCCTCATTTTTCTGTGTCTTGTTTAAGCATCACCTCTTTCCCAGTATAGTTGCCATCTCCCTACGGTGAGGCATAAGTTGTGCATGCCTCTATCATAGCAGATGCCATGGTGCAGTGTGGCCAGTTATCCCCAGTTCCTCAATGGACTGAGCCTCCCAAAGCCAGACCCAGGTTTCTCTGCTGGGCAGAAGCTGGTTGTTAATGAGTTTTCTCTTGGTACGATGACATGGGGTAAAGTACTCAGAGTCAGGCCAAACTGAGCATCCAAATATCCCAGCACCTACATTTGTGTGCTGTCTGATCTTGGTCGGGCTTCATTCCCTGCCAGTCTCAGTGTCCTCATCTGAGAAATGGGAAGACAATAGAACTTACAGGGATGAAAGGACGTGCAGGGACTCAACTGAGCTTGTGGGCTCTGAACCCGTGTCTGCATCTCTCCCACCTCCACCTTGAGACCTTCCATCTACTCCTTTGTTTCCTAACCTATGAATTAGGGAAGATATCAGTGCTTCATGTGGCATCCTTGAGGATGAAGTGAAACACTGAGGCAAACAGTGCAGGTACTCAATAAATATGCTCCTACAGTGCCTATCTTAGCAGCTGAAMACTGGCTAGGGAGGCTCTTGTGACATGTCTCAAAGGGCGATCTTGTCTTTCTTGGTCACCACTGTAGCCACATTATCCAGCATGGTCACGGGTCTAGAGCAGGTGCTCCATCCATCTTGTGGGGCCATTGAACTGTGACTGAGTTACACATAACATTATTCTGCCTGTAAGCCCAGTGCTTTGTGACCTCTTCTGTCCCAGGTATCAGAGGACATATGTCCTACTGCAGCCCAACCCTGGCACTGAGACATTTTATACAGGTCAAGGGACCATCTTGGAAGGGAAGGCAAGTACTTCGGGGCAGGGGGAAATGTAGGGTCTGGGACACCTACATGTCTCAAAGTTTAACACATTGCATTTCATCCTCACRGTAGCCTGTGTGGCACAGATCACTGCCCCCACTTTAGAGGTGATGAACTGTGAGTTCCAGGGGATGGGGAAGCTCACCCAAGGCTGTGCAGAAATGAAGGGGCACAGCTGCATTTGAATTCCAACCCCCTGTGTCTTCTTTCCATGGTACCAGCTCCCTCTCAGAAGGTAGGGAGTGGAAGCTGAGCCCCAAATGCCAAGGCTAAGGTCAGGCTCAGGCTGAATGACAGAGATAGGCTCTGGTGGCTGAGCTGAGGCTGGCCCAGAGGCAGGTGGTGCTAAAGTCAGATGCCTGGGAAGTTGAGCCAGGACCACAAAGACGAGAGATGGCCAGAAGCTATAGCAGGGCGTCAASGAGGTGCTGGGTCCTCAACAAAAAGCTCCCTGCCTTCTTGTTCTGTGACCTTGAGCAAGTCATTCAACCATCTCATTTCGGAGTCCTCATTTGTCACACAGTGTCATCCCCCCTGCTGGGTTGTCAAGGTATTACATGAGACAATGCTGGGAGACAGAACTGGGTCAAGTCCAGGCCAGAGCTCCAGTACTAATTTGTTAAATGACCCAAGGCAAGTCATTTCACTTCTGTGCATCTCAGTGTCCCATCAACGAATGCAGGTTAGTTCCTGTCTCACCAGTTCATTACGGGGGTGCAGTGGTTAGACTGTGGTCCCTGGAGTACATTTTCCTGAGTTCAGGTTATGTTCCATGTAGCTTGGTTTCTCTGGGCCTCAGTTTCCTCCCCTGTACTCAGGGATGAACGTAGTGTACTCACTTCATTCAGTTGTGATGTTAAATGATAGAACCAACAGAAAGAATGTAGACCTGTGTCTGGCACAGGTAAGCCCTCTATTCCTGAGAACTCATTAGCCCCAGGTCTGGCCCATCATAGTAACTAGTACTTGCTGCTGYGTGGTGGGCGCTGCTTGGAGCGCTTCACACTCTGACTAATCCTCAAAGCAGTCCTCTGAGGCAGGTGATACTCTCTTCATGAGCACTGAGTTTCTCAGAGGTCCACTGCCTTGCCAGAGGTCACACAGATCAGTGGGCAGACCTGGATTTGATCCTGCAGACTCCAGCGACTCCATCCCTAATAAAGCCTCSATAAACGAGAGCTGTTAGAAATGTCTGTGTTATGTGGGGTGTTTTTTAGAACTAGAAGAGATGGCGATTACTCGTGTCTAAGTAGAGTCTCATTAAATGAGCCCCAAAGGCCTGGGTGCTAATGGGTGAAGGAGTGCCCGTTGGGTCTGCTCAGCTCCTGTTGGCRTCCACCAGGGGGCAGCCAAGAGGACCGAATCAGGAGGTGGCGCTGGAGACCCATGCAGGGGGCATCCAGGACCTGGGACCACAGGGAGGAGCAGAAAAGAGAGGCAAAGCCAAGGGTTTATCTCCCCTATCCCCCAAACTGGGCTGCTCAGCTTCTTTGTGCGGGCTTCCAAGAGAGCAGGTGCTCAGCTCCATCTGAATCCTCCAGGCATCAGAATCTTCTGGGTATGGGCCAGGAATCTGAAACTTTGAAAACTTTAATGAAATATTGTATGGGAATGAAAATCAATAAGCCGGAGCTAAACCTATAAACATAAATAGCACTTAACAGTGGAACGTTGAACAAAAATGTAATGCAAAGTGGAAAAGCAAGTTGCCAAATGCACTGAATTTGCCATGGAGTGGGAAGAAGGCAAGAATGCGAATGAGAGCCACCACCCTGCGCAAGCTCATAATCCAAGACTCCAGAGGCGGAGGCAGGAGGATCACAAGTTCCAGACCTGCAACTTGGTGAGATCCTGTCTCAAATTTTAATTGGGATAAAATAAGAAATATAGAGGTTGGGGTGTAGTTCACCCCCCTGGTAGAGCAATTTCCTAGCATGTTCGAAAACCTGGGTTCCAACTTCAGTACTGGGGAGGGGAGTAACAAACGGAGACCCTTCTCAACCGCCTCTTGTGTGGGGGTGCTGTAGCCTCCAGCTTCAGGTCTGTTTACTACTACCCCACTCTGTGCAAATAGCTCTTGGTCAGTCTTCCCCCCTCA